GGCAGAGGTGAGAGGGTTGCCTGAGTACAGGGGTTCGAGAACAGCCTGGGCAACTTGGTGAGACTTCATCTCTCCAATAAATCAACAAATTAGCCATGCGTGGTAGTGCGCACCTATAGTTCCGGCTACTTGAAAGGCTGAAGCTCAAAAAATAAATAAATGAATATAAAAAAATAAAAAGAAAGTAAGAATATCTCTCTACATTCTAAATCAAAACCCCTTGAGGTAAGCACTCAACAGTTTGGTGTGTTACCTTCCTGAATTATTTGTGTGTGTGTATATTTGTATATATATATAGTATAAGTTTAAATAGAGAAAACTGGCATTATCAATACAAGTGAAGTCTTAATCTCTGGGCTTCTTGAGTCATTAAACAGAATTCTTGTTCTGCCTATAGCTCTGTTACCTTGGGCAAATCATTATGATTGTGATTGTGATTATCATTAACTTATCTCAATCTCAGTTTTTATATTTAGAAAATAAAAGATGGTAAGACCACTTTATACAGTAGTCTGGGAACTGAATTAGCTAATTCATGTAAAGTTCTTCAAAACAGTGCCTGGCAGATACTAAGAGTTCAGAAATCATCATGTTGGGTTGCTCTGCAGTACATTTTGTAAACAACACTATAGCCTAGAGATCCTCTTTGTAGGTGTGTCACCAATTTTGAACCCCTGAATAGCACCATGATCTATGTAACCATTCCCTGTGTGTGAACATTGAAACCATATCTAACTTTTCAATATTAAAATGGTGTGACAGGGCCAGGCTCAGTGGCTCAGCCTGTAATCCCAGCACTTTGGGAGGCCAAGGCGAATGGATTGTCTAAACCTGCGGGTTCGAGACCAACCTGGGTAATTTGGTGAGACCTCATCTCTACAATAAATAAAAAATCAGCTGGGTGTGGTAGCGTATGCCTATAGTTCCAGCTACTTGGAAGGCTGAGGTGGAAGGATCACGAGACCCTAGCAAGTTGACACTGAGTGTGCCACTGCACTCCAACCTGGGTGACTGAATGAGACTCCAACTTAAAAAAAAAAATGATGCAACAAATATCTTTGTACATATGCAGGTACACACACACAGATTTTTGCTTCCTTATGAAACTGTAAGATAAGATCCTAAAAGTTAAATCTATGATCAAAAATATGTGATTATTTTTATTTTAGTCAACACTAACATGTATTTACTTTTCCATCCATCTCATTATTAAATGAGTTGAATATCTTCTCATATGTGTGATCATTCACACTTCTTTCGAGAATTGTCAGTGCAGGTCCCTTCCTCTTTTGAAATGGGTGGTTGACTTTTTTAATTGATAGGCACTTTTTTTTTCTTTGAGTCAGGGTCTGTGTTGCCTAAGCTAGAATACAGTGGCACCATAATGGCTTACAGCAGCCTCAACCTCCCAGGCTCAAGCAATCCTCCTGCCTCAGCCTCCCAAGTAGCTGGGACTAAGGTGTGCACTACCATGCCCAGATTTTTTTTTTTTTTTTTTAAAGATGAGGTCTTGCTGTGTTGCCCTGACTGGTCTCAAGCTCCTGGGCTCAAGCAATCCTTCCACCTCAGCCTCCCAAAGTGCTGGGATCATAGGTGTGAGCCACTGTGCCCAGCTAGAAGCTGTTTCTATATGTGATACCAACACTCTCCGTTCTATATTTTGACAATACTTTCTCCCAGGTTGTCATTTGTCTTTCATCTTTGTGTGATATCTTTCACTGTGTAGAAGTTTTACATTTTTTACTAGTCAGGTCTTCTCTTTTGCACTTTCTGGACATCATGTCATGCTTTAAAAGGTCTTCTCCACTCTTTTATTATAAAAATATTCTAATTTTTTATAGTCAGTGTTTGCATTTTTGTCTTTTTAAAAAATTACCATCTCTAATCTACATGGCCTTTACTTTCATGTATGGCATGAGATAAGATTCAGACTTTATGCTATCCCAAAATTGTCCTAACATGATTCACTGAATAATTTTCTCAACTTTTATCACGTTAGGTTCACTTTCCTGACTTTACATCCTGTTTCACCAACCTACTTGTCTTTTCTTGTAACTATACCATAATATTTTAATTATTATAACTTTTGTATATTTTGACAGTTGAGAGAATAAATTAGTTTTAATTATTTTTTATCTTTTTAACTATTCTTGTGCTTTTAGTCTTTACAATAAACTTGATTATCAGTTTTTCAAGTTCAAAAAAACCCTGTCAGATTCTATTTTGATATTTCATTGTTTTATTATTCTGGAGAAGATTGAAATATTTATATGGTATGTCTCTCAGATTTTGTTTTATGTTTGTTAATTAATTATTTATAATTGATGCATGTAGGTCATGTACCTGGAGTTGTTACACTCTTCCTAGGTGTGATGAGGAAGTTGTTTCATGGGTTTTTACCATTGTGAATGGGCTGTCCTTCAGCTGTAATAGTTCATGTGCTGTAAGGAAAGCACATAAGCTGGGCATGGTGGCTCACACCTGTAATCTCAGCACTTTGGGAGGCAGAAGAGAGAGGATTGCCTGAGCCCACAGATTCAAGACTAGCGTGGGCAACATGGTGAGACCTCGTCTTTACAATAAAAAAGAAAAAAAGAAAGCACTTTAAAAATCCATCCACATGCAACTCCAGCTTTAACATGACCCACCGCATGAGGAGCCTGGAATTCCCTTCTCCATCCTAACAATAAGTAAATAGCTGAACACCAGTGAGGTGAGGTCACAGGGCTAATGGTTGCTACTTGGAGGCACAGACAAACTAATGCAAAGACTCCCAACTCACCAGAACAGAACCAGGAGCAGGAATCACTGCAGAAGCCAGGCCTGAGGAAGGAAGCCCAAGCCCAACTGACACATGGCTGGAGGCACACCCTGGACTTCTGGGAATCAAAGCCCTTGGGGGAGCAGCCAGAGGGCACCTCTACACTTCTATATCACATACACCAGCAGGCTACCAGAAAGACAAGAGAGAGGTATAGAAGCAGTATTTAAGCAATACTAACTGGTGATTTCCCGAAATTAATGCCAGATACCAAGCCACAGAGTTAGGATGCTCTGAGAACACCCAGCAGGATAAATGCCACAACTGCGCCTAGGCACAGCACATTCAAATTGCAGAAAATCAATGATCAAGAAGTCTTAAAAGAGGCCAGGCACAGTGACTCATGCGTGCAATCTCAGCACTTTGGGAAGCCAAGGTGAGAGAATGGCCTGAGCCCAGGGGTTTGAGATCAGATTGGGCAACTTGGTGAAACCTTGTCTCTACAAAAAAATTTTTAAATTATCCAGGCGTGGTGGCACATACCTCTAGTCTCAACTACTCAGGAAGCTGAGTGGGGAGGGTTGCTTGAGCCCAGGAGGTCAAGACTAGAGAGCCAAGATCATGCAACTGGGCAACAGAGTGAGACACCAACTAAATAATATATATATTAAAAGAAGACAGAAAAAAATAAAACTTTACCTGCAGAGGAGCAAAGATAATGACTTCCAACTTCTCAGAAACCATGCAAGCAAGAAGAGAGTAAAGTGAAGTATTTAAATTGTTGAGAGAAAAACACCACCAACTCAGGATTCTGTTTCCTGTGAAAACAGCCTTTAAAGGTGGAGAAGGCCAGGTGCAGTGGCTCAGCCTGTAATCTGAGGCAAAAGGATTGCCTGAGTCCGGGGATTTGAGACCAGCCTGGGCAACTTGATGAGACCTCATCTCTACATCACAAAAACTAGCCAGGCGTGGTGGAGTGCGTCTGTAGTTCTAGCTACTTGGAAGGCTGAGGCAGAAGGATCACCTAAGCCCAGCAGGTCAAGGCTGCAGTGCCGTGAGTGTTCCACTGTACTCACTCAGCCTGGATCACCCAGCCTAGGTGACAAGAGTGAGACTCCAACTCAAAAAAAAAAAAAAAAAGATGGAGAAACTGAGACCTTCTCAGTCAAACAAAGTGTGAGAGAATTTGTTGCCAGTAGACCTGCCTTGCAAGAAGGGTTAAAAAAAGTTCTTCAGAGACAGGGAAAGTGACATAGATCAGAAATTTGGATCTATGTTGTCTTAATCCTTTTTGTGATGCTGTAACAAAATACTATAGCATAAACAAGGTAACTATCACAAACAGAAATGTACTGGATTATTGAATTAAGTTTTCAATATTTGAATTTGGGGGAACACATTTAAACAACAGCATCTGTTTAAAAAAAGAGCGTTACAGTTAAAATATAAACTTTTCTTAATTGTCCTAATAGATAGCAGTTTGTTCAAAATAATAATAGGAGTTAATACAGATGGTCCCCAAATTATGATGATTCAATTTAGGATTTTTTTTTTTTTTTTTTTTTTTGCTTTACCATGGTGCAAAAGTGATATGCATTGAGCAGAAATCATATTTCAAGTGACTGTATAACCATTCTGTATTTCACTATCAGTAGAGTATTTCAATAAATTACATAAGATGCTCAACACTTTATTAGAAAACAGGCCTTAGCTGGGCATGGTAGCACACGCCTATAGTTCCGGCTACTTGGAAGACTGAAGCGGAAGGATCGCCAGAGCCCAGCAGGTCGAGGCTGCGGTGGCCGGGAGCGTGCCACTGCACTCCAGTCTGGGCAACAGAGTGAGACTCCAACTCAAAAAGAAAAGAAAAGAAAAGAAAAAAGAAAACAGGCTTTGTGTTAGATGATTTTGCTCAACTATAGACTAACATGAATGTTCTGAGCACATTCAAGTCAGGCTAGGCTAAGCCATGACATTCAGCGGGTTAGCTGTTGTAAACACATTTTTGAGATGTAGTATTTTCAGCTAGCAGTGGGTTTGCAGGATCTTACCCTGTGTGGGTCGGGGCTCTCCTGCCTTATGTGTGTGTGTGTGTGAGAGAGACTATGGTGGGACAATGTGAAGTCTAGTTGATTCCTTATACTGACATACAAGTGAAATGTGCCTTTGACATCTTTTTCCAATTTTTACAATGGATTTCATTAATAAAATAAATTTGTTATATTTCACTTCTCTGTAGATGAAATACAATAAAAGTAAAGATGAAAGCACTATTTCCACAGTGAGGAGTCAAGTGATTGATGTGAAAAATGTTATGACACGAAATATCGATACAATTTTGGAACAAGAAGAAAGATCGAGTATCTCCCTTAATAGAACAGATGATCTCCAGACAACTGTAAGTGGCTCACTCCTGTGTTGCTGTCCAAACAGTGCTCTTGGTTGTAGGACTGCTGCCCTTGAGACAGACTGCAGAAGCAAAAATATAGCAGCATGCTGGGAGAGAGTCTTGAGTCACCAGTCTATGACCTTATCAAAAATTCTCGGAATGCAACTAAAGTATTAAAGAACCCAGAAAACAATCCAAATAAGCAAACCCACTAAATTAGGAGGTAATTATTTGCATAATAGGAGTTATTACATTAAGGAACATGTAGATTAGTCAGTAAAGAAATTGCAAGGGAATAAAAGAAAAGGAGAACTTTTTTTTTTTGAGTCAGAGTCTCACTCTGTCACCCAGACGGGAGTGCAGTGGCACACTCACAGCCACCACAGCTTCAACCTGCTGGTGATCCTTCCACCTAAGCCTTCCAAGTAGCTGGAACCACAGGCCCACACCACCATGCCCAGCTAATTTTTTTATTTATTGTAGAGACAAGGTCTCGCTATGTTGCCCAGGCTGGTCTTGAACCCCTGAACCCCTGGGTTCAGGCAATCCTCTTGTCTCCACCTCCCAAAGTGCTAGGATTGCAGGTGTGAGCCACCACACCTGACAGAAGAACTTATTGAAAACAGACTTGAAGCTGGGCACTGTTGCATTCCTGTAGTCCCAGCTACTTGGGAGGCTGAGGTGGGAGGATCGCTTGACACCAGGAGTTCGAGACTGTAGTTCCCTATGATAATGCCTCTGAATAGCCCCTGCACTCCAGCCTAAACAAAATAGACCCTGTCTATAAAAAATAATAATAATAAATGTTTAAATGGACTTAAAAGTCAAAGATAATTGAAATGTGTTGTCCTTATTTGGATTTTAATGCAAACTATAAAAATGAAAATTTATAACTTTGTGTGATAATTAGATATTTAATCTCTGGTTGGATATTAGATGACATTCATAAATTATTAACTTTTTAGGTGTGATAATGGTGTTGTGGCTATGTTTTTAAGAGACTCTCTACTTACTACAGATTTGTACAAAAATGTTTATGGTCAAAATAATATAGTGTTCAGCATTTGCTTTGGTATAATGAGAAACACGGAAAAGTAAGTTGGAATATTAAAGGAAGCAAACTTGGCCATAAACTGATCGTTGTTGACTCTGGGTGTTGAATATATGGAGTTCATTACATCTTCTATCAGCTTCTGTGCATGTCTGAAATTCTCCAGTAGAAAATTGTTTGAGAACTAGTTTGAATAGTTTCCTTAGAGCATTTTGAATTTTTATTTTTCCACATCTTTTCTGGAAACACAGCCACCAAGTAAAGCAAGCATACACCGACCCAGTTCTATCTCCTAAACATTTTTCTTAACCCATTTTTTTCACTTTTTAAAAAATTATTGCTATTACTTATATATAATGATATTCATCAATTTAAATTATTCTAGATCATGATATTCATCTATTTTAAGCGTAGCATTGGATGGATTTGGTAACGTACACAGTGTGTAACCACAGTCAAGATATTATCAGCGAGCTCCTTCATGCCCTTGGAAACTGTCTCTTGCCCCACCCTGACCCCTGCCAGCCACTGACCTGCTTCCTGTCACTATACTTTTGCCTCTTCTAGAATTTCACGTAAACAGAGCCACGGTGCCTCGTCTGTTGTTTGACTTCTTTCACTCAGCACAGTTTCTGACATTCGTCACCCATGTGTTAACACTCCTTTCTTTTCACCGCTGAGCAGCCGCCCGCTTGGGATTTTAGCTCCCTCCTGCACAGCCCAGCCCCGCCCCCTTCTGCTCCCAGCTCTGCCTTGGGTCCCACCGTGCCCATCGCACATTCCATCGTCCTCCCGACAGAGGGCTCCCGTCCAGGCATCCTCCACGCTGGAACCCGAGGGGTGCTTTTAACTGCCAGTGTGATCCCTCTCTGCGGCTCCTCAGCACCCGTGGCGGCGCCCTCTTCCCACACCCGCCGGACTCCCGCCTCCCTGGCACAGCGAGCTTTCTTCTGCTCATTCTTTCTTCAGCCTCTTCTCCCAGAGGCCACGTCTTGCTGTCTGTAAACCGCAAAGCCTGCCAATTGGGTGTGGGCTCTCCAAGCTGCGTGTTGATGACTTCACACCACCACACGTGCTGCCCCCTCCCTTTTTCTTTGCCCGGAAAACTTCCATTCTTCCACCCAAATCCAACTCAAAGGTCGTCTCCTGACGGCCCCTGCCACCGAAACTCTCCTCTCTGCCATCTCTGCACCGTGTGTTGATTGATTTCATTCGGCAAATATTTTTAGAGGGTCTAACATCTTCCAGGCACTAAGAACAGAATTATGAAGGTGACTGCCACAACCAGGCTCTTAATACACCTCAGTCTTAAATTCAGTTCTGTTTATTTGAACAAAGCAAGCCTCTACATTATTTTTATTGCAGAATAAAGATAAGGTCACATCACTTGATATCATCTACAACAAGAATTAATAAAGGAAGTCATTGTCTAGGCTTGCAAGTGTACTATGTGAGATAATAGCACAAGCATGCCATGACACCATCCACACCATTTAGAGTCATTCTGTATTCATTAATAAACATTCTTTGGGGGTCTATTATGTACAAGATATTACTGGTCATCTTCAGAATAACAGAATAAGATACTTGCCACAGTTCAAGCTATTGCAGGAGACAGATTTATGTTTGTATACACTTACCTGTAATCCTAAATCTGTGGCAAGTGGATAAAGTGTAACAGCCACACAGTGGAATGCAGCATACTCTTACAAAGCACTGTGGAATTACAGTGATACAGTTTCCCAATCAATATTACCTCATTCTGTATGTTAGGAAGTGTTTATGAGATTTAGATACTATGTGTCTCAGAGGCAATAGTTAAGAGTCTTGAGAAAATTACTGTTTTATTATGAAAGACTTGTTTCAAGCATATAAACATGTTTTGAGAATAATGTATCTACTACTCTTGTGACCATCACCTGCGTTATGAAGCCTTAATATTTTACCTTATTTGATGTGATCCCTTTTTTAAAAAAGAAATGCAGCTGTAAATAGAATTAAGCTATCCTATGCACTCTTCCCATGGCATTTCACTCTCACCAGAAGAACTCTTGTGAATTTGATATAAATTACTTGTATGAGCTGGGCTCGGTGGCTCAGCCTGTAATCCCGTGCCTTTGGGAGGCTGAGGTGAGTGTATTGCCTGAGCCCCGGGTTCGAGACCCACCTGGGCAACTTAGCAAGACCTCATTTCTAGAATAAATCAAAAATTAGCCAGGCATGGTAGCACGTGCCTGTAGTTCCAGCTACTTGGAAGGCTGAGGCGGAAGGATCGCTGGTGCCCAGCAGGTCGAGTCTGGGTGACAGAGTGAGACTCCAACTCAAAAAAAATAAAAATAATAAAAATAAATTACTTGTATGCAATTTTTGGTTTGGGGGAGTTTTTTGGTTTTGGTTTTGGTTTGTGTTTTCTTTTTGAAACAGGGTCCCCCTCTGTCACCCAGGTTGAAGTGCAGTTTCATGGCTCACGGCAGCCTTGAATTGCTGGGATCAAGAGATCCTCCTACCTCAGCCTCCTGAGTAGCTAGGACTATAGGTGAGTTCCACCATGCTCTGCTCCTTCTGGCCTCAAGTGATCATCCCACCTTGGCCTCCCAAAGTACTGGGATTACAGGCATGAGCCACCGTGCCCAGCCTTGTATGCATGTTTTTGATTCCTCTCTATGTATCTATGTGGAAATTATCAATATATGATATTGGTTTGCATTGTTTACATTATATTTATAATTTTATAATTTATATATTCTCTGCAACCTGAGCTTTTACTTCAGCATTGTTTTTGAAATTTATTTATTTTGAAACATTTAACTCTAATTTATCAAGTTAACTTCTTATATCATTATTACTTAAACACAATGTACTTATCCTTTCTCATTTTAATAAGTATTAATGCAGATTTTAACTTTTCTTTATTATGAACAATACCATATTGAACAACCATGTGCATGTCTCTTATGCACTTTGCAAAAATGTTTCTAGGACAGTGGTCTGCAGAGATTTTCTTTATCATGTGTACATCTTTGAAAAATATTCTTGAGAATGCACTTAAATATTTTTATAAATTATATATATTCTATAATATTTTATATTATAAAACATACAGAAAATAGAAATTAAAAGAATGGGATAAAGATGAAATAAAGTATCAAGTAATTTTTATAAGAAAATACAAACTACTTGCTGTCATTAAGAAAAATAATAGGCCAGGCTCAGTGGCTCAGCCTGTAATCCCAGCACTTTGGGAGGCCGAGGTGAGTGGATTGCCTGAGCCCACAGGTTTGAGAGCCACCTGGGCAACTTGGTGAGATCTCGTCTCTACAATAAATCATAAAAATTAGCCAGGCACAGTAGCGTGTGCCTGTAGTTCCAGCTGCTCGGAAGGCTGAGGCGGAAGGATTGCCGGAGCCAAGCAGGTCAAGGCTGCAGTGGCCGGGAGCATGCCACTGCCCTCCAGTCTGGGTGACAGAGTGAGACTCCGACTCAAAAAAAAAAAAAAAAAAAGAATAAGAATAATAGGCCAAATAATTTTAATAAGAAAATACAAACCACCTGCTCTCATTAAGAAAAATAATAAAAATGGGCCGAGTACAATGGTTCATGCCTGTAATCCTAGCACTTTGGAAGGCTGAGGTGAAGGATTGCTGGGTCCCAGGGCTTCAAGACCAGCCTCAGCTATATAGCAAGGCCTCGTCTCTATAAAAAATCATTTTTAAAAAATGAGCTGGGTATGGTGGCATGTGTCTGTAGTCCCAGCTACTTGAGAGGCTGAGGCAGGAGATCACCTGAGCTCAGGAGGTCAAGGCTGTGGTGAGCCATGATCATGCCACTGCACTCTAGCCTGGGCAACAGAATGAGACCCTGACTCCAAAAAGAAAAGAAAAAATGTATTATAATTATGGTAAAGTGACTAAAAGATCTGATTACATATCACTATTTTTTACCTCTAAATATGACAGAT